CATACATGCACATTCATGTTTGTCGGTATCCAGTTACGCACGCACGTGCATATACATATACATATACATACATATACATATATATATATATATGCCTGAGCGTTAGTAGACGTGGTAAACACTTGTCTTTGGCAAAAAAATAAAAATAAATAAATAAAAATAAAAATAAAAATAAAACTGGAACAATGGCAATGACACAAAAACAAACTAATATATATATATATATATATATGTGTGTGTATATCTGTATGTGTGTATGTGCTAACTTCAAGTAAAAAAAAAACCCGTCCACGCTTCACACTGTCGTCTCTGCCCATGTTATTGTCACTTCTGTGCATAGAATTGGAGACACATGTACGTGCCGTTACCTGGCACCTCCCTTTCCCTACTCGCTGTCTGCTTCTCTCCCACTCCTGCCCCCCGCCCCCGTCGCTGCCGCGTCTGCATGGCCATCTCAGCCGAAACGTCAATTCAATGCGGGTCCTCGCTACCGGGCAGTCAAGCGCCCGGCGATCGCACCCGCTCACCGCAGCAGTGTGTGGCGTCGAGTGCATCGACGACGCGCAGCTCCGTTTTGTTGCTTTTGTTGTTATTGTTGTTGCTGTTGCTGTTTCCTTCCCTCGTGTGCCCCTATTCCTTCCTCCCCTATTCCTTCTCTCTCCCTCGAAGCTTTGCTTCGGGCCTTCAGCTGCACTATGCAGCCGCAAGTAAAGCAAAAACAAAACAAAAAACCGCCCCGCCACTTGGGGTCAAGAAAGGGGACTTAGCCCTCCACCTCATTCGCAAGTTCCCGTGTGACGAAGCCACTTTTCGCCGCGTCCTCCGCGAGCATCTCCGGCGCATCCTCCGGCGGAAGCGGGAAGGCTGGCGTTAGCATCGCGTTGGCCGCCGAGAGGCGCTGCTCCCACTCGTCGTCGCACATCATCACCGTCATGACCTCCCCGAACCTGCGTGCCACATCGAGGAGCGACTTCCGCAGAAACGTCCGATAAAAGCCGTTGTACTCGTCTATGAACCGGGCGGTTCCCTTCGACAGCTCCTGCTTCACCTGCTCAAGTCTTTCAGCCTGGGTTGCGCTCGACTTTTTCTCCGTCGCCCGTGTGAGGGACTGAGCCTCGGCACCCAATGCCTTGAAGCGCCTGATCACGTGCACACAGCGACTCGCGTAGCTGGAGAGAAACCACAGCATGTCCTCCACTTCCTTCAGCGCGGTGACCCCGGCCGAGCGGCTCACGTACATGCAGTAAGACTCCACCTGGGTCGCGAGCTCCTGCAACGCAAAGATCGCCGGGTCACTTATCCCGGAAGAGGGATAGTTCAACTCCTCCAGCCGCACAATTGCCAACTTCTCATCTTGGTCGTCCCACTCTACAACGGCGACGTCGTCCTTCACGTCTCGCACCACGCCTTCCAGCTCGGGGTGCTGGGAGTGCTGGACCCGGTGTCCGCAGTAGCAGGCGGTCCACGGCAGCGGCGACCCCTGAATCGGCTTACGCAACGCATTCACGTCGCTCCAGTGGCGTAGCTCCCCGGCGCAGCACTTTGTGATGTGCTCTACCTGCGCACAGCAGGTGTGGAGGAGACCGGCCAGGTCACTCTGTCGCGTTTCGACGACGACAAAGGGAGACTCCGCCACACCGTTATGCTCGTTCGACTCACCGATTGAGCGCAGCTTTGAGAACAGGCTGAGCCCCTTCAACTTCACAGCGGAGAAGAGAGATCTTTTGTTTTGCTTCTGCCGTTCTTCACGAAAGGCGCGCCAGGCGAGTTCGTCAAACGTCACAAAGGCCTTGAGCAGCGGGGATTCATGAAGTTCATGTAGTTGCGAAATGGCGTTGAGGGCCAACTGCAGCCGCCGCATGCGCTTCTTCACCAGCGGGTTCTCCTTCGTGGCGGCGCCGTTCTCCTTCGAGCTGGAGAGCAGATCGGTGAACTTGTCCATCGTCCCGTCCGTCTCCTTCGGTGGAATCGGCGGGAATAGCACGCCGGGGAACTCCAACTCCATCTGCGCCGCCAGCCACTCAAAGTCGGAGTAGCGGTGCCACGTGCAAAAGTCGATGTACCCGGCGCCCCGGCTGAAGTTCTGCGCGGGGCGGTTCGAGGGCACCGACGACGGGAGGCTCTGGTAGCTCGGCAGGAAACTCCGCGCCAGGATCTTGTACGACCAGTACGAGAGGTGCTGCACCCGGCCGTTCTCCGTGTACATGCGCTCCGCGTCGGCAGCAAGAAACTCCATGGCGGCGGGCGGCGGGCGGCGCGCTCTTTGCAACTGAAACTACGTGTACCACAAGAGCAAAAGAACAACACAACACAAAACAGAACAAAAACGGCTCTGTGAGGCGGTTGAATGTCAAGAGCAACAAGAAGGAAAAAAAGGAAGAGAAATGCAGCCTTCCAAAAACATTGGACACACATATATATAATAATAACAACAATATATATATATATATACTAACCCGCATGACAAGTAAGCCTCCGACCTCTTGTCTTCCTCTTCTTTCTCTTTCTTCATGTCTACTTCCCCCAGCTCTCCTTGGGGCCTTCTCCCGCAACCCCTTCTTTCTCGCATGTGCAGAACGGGGTTGGGGCCACGGAAAGCCAGGCAAACTCTTTTACATTCGCAGCAGACAAGGACACGCACACACTCTACATACGCCACTCACCGGAAGGAGGTGAAAAGCGGAAACAACACGAAGTAAAAAAGAAACACAAACAGCAACAAACACAGCGGCGTAGAAAATCACAGCAAGAGAACTATTTCTGCTTCCCTGTGGGGGGAACACCGTAAAAGAGGAACGCCGCGGCACAGGGATCCGCGGCATCACCTGCGCCGCCGCGAACGGCCTCGGAAAGGCCTTTACCACCACCCATAATAGCAGGCAAGCAGCGGCGGCAGACAAGGTCGCACTCCTCTGGGGAAAGTGGAAGCAAGGTATTATTACAAAAATACTGCACACCACGTGACAAAAAGAGGAGGGAGACGATGGACTGCCGCTCGTAGAAGAGGTTTAGTGCTGTCTTGCTCATGCGTCCTTTCTGTTCACGGCGTAGGGAGCTATCGTTGGTGCCTTCAGCGACAAGGGCCGCAAGCATGTGGTCCAGGTTCAGCTCCACCAGGGTCCGTGGGCTCACAAGGTCTGCAAAACTACCACACAGGTCAACAAGAAGGGTGTTGTGTCTAGTTGCGGTTAGCGCCTGACGCACAAACAACGGCGAGGGGCTACACTGAGCACCGTTTTTGTCCCTTGACGAGCAAATAATCTCGCCTGTCGTTGCCTTTGGACGAGCCTCTGCGCCAAACAGAGTCTGCAGCGAGGCCTCGTGCTCGCCGAGTGGATCCAAGATAAAGAGGCTTCCAACAGAGAACGTTTTCCCGCCACGAATGGAGAGTTTGTGCCGAATGTGAGCCACGGACAGCTCACGTTGCACCGACAAGAACTGCGTGAACACCGAGAGCCGCTCCAGCGGCAGCGACTGAAGGACGGGGTCCAGACAGAGAAACATGTGGCAGTTAGGTGCAAGCCAGGAAGCGAGGTTTTTAAAATCCGCCCATAAAGGGGCCGCCACGGCCTCAACTCGACACAAGAGGGACTGTAAAAGGGCAAGGCTGCTTGACTCCAGGGAAGCCTTTCCAGTAGAATCCTGCTTGATGATTTCATCTTTCCTGAGTTGCTTGACTGTCTCAAGTTCGTCGCCGCACTCTAGCAGGGAGTGGACATCCAGCTGCACCCTGCGGCTGTGCACCCCACCATCTGGGCACCGCAGGGCCACGAGGAAGTACGAGCTGCACTCCTCCCGCACCACGCTGAGGGCACAAAAGTCCGGAGCGAGTGGCTTCGGCTTATTTGGCTCCGCAGGCCACTTGAAGGCAAGATCGAAGTATCTAAGCATGCTGGAGGCACTCACCAAGGCCCCACGCACGGTGTCAAAGGCGGGCGTGTTCAGGAGAAAAGGCGCATTCGACTTTGTCTTCTCTATAAACCGAATCAAATTGCTCTCGGGGGAACTTTGCAAAAGCGCCGACTGAATATCAAGCAGGAAACCACACATCTCCGCAGCCTGAGCGAACTCAATGGCAGTCCCAGCGGCACAAGGGCTGTCAGAGAGTGTGAGGTCGTGAGCCATGCAGACGTAGCATTTTGCCAATTCTCTGTATTCCAATAAATGAGACGCATGCCTGGCGCCGAGTTGGAGCGTAGAGTGCAAGTTACTGTCCTCATCTACCCAGCGATTCACGGGCTTCTCCTCGTGTACTGGCGGCTCCACGTAAGTAGACTTTCTAGACTTCCGACGCACCGCTAACAGCGCCTTCCGATTTGCTTTCTGGCCAACGAGCTGCTCCATCGTCGGGATAGGGAGAGCCCATTTCCGTGTCAGTGTGTCGTTCTCACGGGCACGCACCACCGCCGCTTTCACCTCGGCGCCCTCCGCCTGGCAAAGCGCCTTCAGCCGTCGTTGCAACTCGGCGAGAGAGACAGCGATAACAGCCTCCATTTGTACTGGCGTACACTCTCCATCCGCGTCCACGGTGCGAAGCAGCATGGCCTCCGCCTCTGCGCTGCTAGCCCCCTCCACCTGCGTCTGTGGAATACCAAAGTGATTCAGCGCACACACCACAGACTTGTTTGGGGTGAATTCGTCGTCCCAGGCCCCCTCCGACGTTCCCCCGCCGCCCTCCGGCGTCATCTTCTTTTTACACTGCTCGTACGCCGCGGGGTCTTGCATGTACTTCAGCACAGAGGCAGTTAACTCACTCGGCCCCCCTGTCGGAATGCCAAGTTGCTCCATCGAGAGTTGCTCGTAGTGCAGTACGAAAAAGTCTTTCAGCAGCTCGCGCTCCAGACAATTCCGAGCCCGCATGACCAACACCTCGTCGTAGGCCTTCGCAATGCTGGGGTGGGTAGCAAGATTCTTTGTATACGCGGAAAGAGGTGCCACCACATACATCTCACCGCGAATCAACTCGGTCACCCTAAAGGCCTCACAGTACTCCGTGTACAAGAGCGTCAAAAATTCCTTCCCCTTTTCCACGTCCGCGCTGGAAAGCACCTCCTCCACAGAAGGGTGCAGACTCTGCCGAACACGCAGTGCAACAGACTGACTCTTCCAATCCTCCATTCCCTGCAGCTGCTCGGCCACCTCTGCGAGGTAACTTCTGGCGCTCTCCTCGCTCTCCCCTGGCCAACAGAAGCGATGGCAGGGCAGATGCAAGAGCGCCAAGAGCTGCTGGGCGGACTCACGCAGTACTCTTCCCGTGCAGTCCTTTAAGACATCCGCCGCAACCTCCCCGGCCAGTCCATCGGCGGCGATATCTGCCACGCGGCGTGAGAAGGCCTGCGGGAGCTCCCTCGCAAGACTGATGGCCTCCTCCACCTGCCCATTACAAAGAAAGGCCTCAAACCGCACCAAGTTCAGCGTCGTCCACAATCGAAACGTGATGCCGCTGAACTCCTCCTCAAGCTCATAGAGCTGCTTTAGCACGGGGCCCCCCTCACCCCGCAATATGCGGGCACGCGCCTCCAAGAGGCGGCAACGCACCACCGCATCGATGTTGCCCACATGCAGTGCGCAAGGCAGCACCTTTTCGCTCCACTGCAGTGCCTCCTGCACCCGCCCAAGAATAAAAAGAGCCTCCGCCTCGCTCAAAACGCAGTAGCAGGTACTGGCTCTAAAGCTCGTAAAGCACAATGCTCCATCCGACCAGATTAATGAGGATGGCGGCACGTCGGCTGAAAGAAGTAGCTCCTGGATACCCGACCAATACTCGGCTGTTGGAGCATCCACGTGGTACATGCCACTTAACCCGCCCCACCCGCTGCGGGCGCCCGCCAAGAGGCACTTGCAGCGAATCGCACGGAGGACAGCCATAGTACGCGGGTCAGAAGGCCCATACCGCCAGGTTGCGGCAAACTCAATCCAGCTAAAGATCATAAAGGTAAACTGCTCCCAATTTTCCTCCACAAGAAATTCACACACATCGAACAGCATTCCCCAAATCTTCTCTGTATTGTGTGAGGCGTCGTCTGGGCAGGAAACGCGTATAAACTCTATATGTTGTGGATCCGCAGAAAAGCCCTGCCATGCGTGAAATTCTTCTGGGAGTTCCAAAGGATTGTGCCTCAGGGCCTCGTCTGCGTCGGCGTCTTTGGGTCGTAGGAGCGCCGAGACAATGCTCCACATGCAGAAGACGTAATGAAGAATGGTAGAAGCACAAGAGCGCCTACAACTGGCGAAATGGTAGCCATCAAGAGGTTTATCCGGCGCCACCACAAAAAGAAGATACATCACACGAATCGCGGTCATGGCCTCACGGAGCGAGGCTGGTTCACCGGAACCGCCCGTGGAGCCCGTCCCAGAGCGCATGGAGGCGGCATCTGAGTAGAGAAAGGTGCGTCCAGCCAAGGAAGGCGCCATCACCTGCCGCATACTTCGCAGCGACCCCTCTCTCTGGCTTTCTTCAAGGGGTCGATACAGTTGGCACTCGCTGAATCGCTCCACGGCGTCCAATGCAGAAAGCAGCAGGGTTATAAGCTCACGTCTGGAAAGTGCATTACGACTGGTCATCCATTCCGACATTTGAATAAGTGCATCGGCCTTTTGAAGTGGTTTGTTTTGCAAAACCTCAATCGCCTGCATCCAACTCTTTGTGCTGTCTGTGATGTTTGCGGCATTCTTCGCGATGGCAATCCACACCGCCGCCTCAATCTCTGGATCGCCTCCCTTGACTTTGTTCACCAGCTGCACTGTGGGCAGCCCCAAGTTGGAGCGAAATTGGGCCTCGTAGGTTCGAAACACCTTGTGGTACTTCGCCGGCAGCACCGCAAGAAGTTCCCTTAGAGTTTTTATTCCCTCCTCATAGGCGCCCTGCTCTGACAAGGCCCTGAAAAAAATAGCGGCCATAGTCGTAATGAGCGACGCCACCGCATCCCGCTCTGCGAGACCCTCAGCGTCCCTGTTGCCCCCGCCCCCACGCGAGGACAACGAGGCCATCGGCAGCAGGGACGGCGAAAGCAGTATGCGAAGACTCGGGAGAAGCAGCGGGCGGGCGGCCCCACTCAACGACCCTGCGACAGAACAAAAGGCATGATAAGCCTCCGTTATCTGCGACACACGCGAAGACACTGGGCCGTGGGAAGCCGCAATCGCACTGTTGGTGATGGCCACGAGAACCTGCTTCTCCAAATCGTGCCGCTTGGAACGCTCAATGCCACTTCCCAGCCGTCCAAGCACGGTCGCCTGGTGAAGCAGAATGTCAGCGTACCAGTACCAGTCTTCCTCCGTCGGTTTGGGGAACACGCCTCCGGCACCAGCGGCAGAGGCCGACGCTGCATTAGACGCATGACCTCTTTCCTTGCCGACGTGGCTGGTGATGGGCGCCTTCGTCCCCCACCCAAGCTTCCCATCCTGGTACAACTGGTCTGCAATGCGGCAGAGCTCCAGTGTAACCCGCTCATTGTCTGGTACTTGGGTGCTGTGCGTTGCAAGGCGTCCACACAACTCTACAGAGGGATCTAGGCGGAGCAGTTCCAGAGCATCCTTGTTAATCAGCGCCCGCTTCTCTCCCACAGACATGGGGCCATTTAGCCGCCCAAGCAAAAGTAGCAACTGCTCCTGTGGGTGATGTGAATCCTCTGGGCTGCGCTCAAGCAGACGTTGAATGCATGCGTCCAGTAAGCAAAACTTTTTCCTCTGCGACGGCAACTGCCACTTACCCATCAACTCGCGACAGACATCCCCTGCCTGCCGAAGCATGGGGTTGCCTGCCTCAGAGATGGGGTACAAGAATGTTTTTCGCAGTGTTTCCGCCAAGGTGTCACACGTCAACTCCCCGTCTACTTCAGCCTTAGATGCGATGTAGGATTGCAGGATCGACATAACGTAACCGAAGCCAATATCGTGGAAGAGTCTGTATTCTCTACTTGGATCCACATGGGTTTGGTTTAGCGCCGCGTATAGTTCTCCAAGCGCCACTGTAGCAGGAAGGAACAAGCCCTTGCGGAATATCCCTGAATACCAGCTAATCAGCGACAGACAGGCATTCACGGCAATCCACTCCTCTCGGTAACCAGCCGCACAAAGCTTAATACTGATCTTTGCTGCTGCCGAGATGTGAGACATGGCGTCTGCCGTAGAATCCGACTTCGTCCCAATGGACTTCTTACCGGTTGTCGCCAAAACCTCAGCCATGCTCAAATGCGCCTCTGCCTTGATCACAAGTAAATCTCTGGAGTCCGCCTCATTAATCACATCAATGTGCGTGAGGCTACTTGCCACCTTTTCGATGATGGGGTGCATCGCCGGAGTCTTCCCCTCCTTGGCCTCCTTCAGGAGGAGCGAGTAAATGTTAGCAGCTAGCGGGTTTGTAATCACGCGCGGCGTTAGCTCCGCGGGTGCTTCAACAGCAACAGAGGGTTGTTTCGCGCGCGTCCCTTTTGAGCGCTCCCGCACCGGCGGCTGCTTTTCCTTTGCCAGGACGCCCGGGTCGAGCAGCTGGCCCAGCGGCGGCAGCTTCGTCATGGCCGACTGCAGGAGCACAAGCCGATTCGAGGCCGAGCCCGAGGTCCGCGCCTGCTCAATGAGGTGGATGACTTGGTCCTCCTGCGCGGAGAAGACGCTGCTGTCGATGGCCTTCCGCACCACGCACCGTCGCCGCAGGTAAAGTAACGCGAAATCCATGGGAAACACCATGTATCCCTCCGCGTTGACGACGCAGTAGTTCAGCGCAAGCGCCCGATCTAACTGCTCAATGGCGGAAGTTGGGTTGTCCTCCTCAAACTCAATCAGGCTTGACTCATACGCCACGTGCACGAGTAGCGCCGTCAAATTCGAGCCGTAATGTGTCAGCAACAACATGATCCGCTTCAAGGTGAGACGCAGTTTTCCACGTGTCTCCGGTTGCAGAAGCGGAAGGCACAGATTCCACAAAATGACGCATCCGACTTGAAGCGTGTATGCATGCTCGGAGGGGTCATCAATCATGCGTGCGCTGTCCATTGTCCCTTCCACGGCCTTGATGCAATTAAACAGGGCCTCCGCCATGGTTCTGGTGAGGTAGCTGGCGTCCAACGCCTTGGCGGCGCCCAAGGCCCCACATGCGCGGGCCCGCAAAATGGCCTGCGCAAATTCACCAAACAGACGCGGACGGACACTCTCACTTTGGAGCAGCTTCGGTAAACTTACCTTGCATACCTCGTCCGCCCCACACAAGGCAAGTCCAAGCACCACCTCGCTGAGGACATCCATTACGAGTGCTGGGTCACTGAAGGTGATTTCAGCCTCCATCGCCTTGCGACTCTTCAGCTTTGTCTCCTTCTTCTCTGGATCAAGGAGCAGTTTTTCATGGGCGGCGATGAGTTCCGCCGTCGCGCTGTTCTCATCCGTAATACCACAGAAAAACGACTGTGCCACGTAGAGAGCCTGCAGGATGGACTTTGTGTAGTCCTGCTTAGAACGGGCGCCGGAGAGGTTGGCCCAGAAGGCAATTTGCACGCGCAAAAACTGCAACTGCAGCCGCTCCGAGCCCACCTTCGAGACAATCTCCGAGGCCGTCGCGAGCTGCGCGACCGCGTCTTGGTGGCGGCCAACCCCGCGGAGGCAGCTCGCATACCGTGTGGTCCACTGAAGCTGGGAAAACGGCCCTCCCAGGCCAAGCTTCTCGTGCAGGGTGAGGACAAAGGCCGCGATGTCAAGCACGCTGTCAAAGGTGCCTGGGTTGAAGAGGTCACGAATGGCCAGCCACAGGTGCTCCACGCCGGCGGTGAGGGTGCGCGCCTCCTTCGGCCACTCCTCCAGCGCAATTTTTATCCCAGTCACAATTTTGGTGGCACAACGCAGGTGCAGCGTCACCTTCTCCCTGCCTCGGGAGGAGGTGGGAATGTCGTGTAGGCCGAGAAGGCCCTCACAGTACAGCGCGCGCGCATCCAACGCCTTCGTCGGGGCCCGCTTCCCCATGAAGTTTTTAAGGCACCGCTCCGCCACACCCCATTCCTCCAACCCCATCGCTGCCTCGCAGCAGAGTATATGCAGCTCGTTAAAGATATTCGTCGAGGACAATTCCCCAGCGGGCGTCCCTAATTCCAACCCCTGCAGGGTGTTGAAGGCCCGCTCAAGCGCAGCCACGGAATGCTCCTCCTGGCTCACCCGCAGCTGCTGCTTCACCGCGCCCACAATGTGCACCATCACCTGCCAAGTCCAGCCTTCCTTCGTTGCATATTTGCGTTTGTTTATGGGTGCATATATTTTTTTTCGAGGGTGAGCGGAGTTTGTTTTTTCCCCACGAATAAGCAAAAAAAAAGAATGCAATAGAGAAGCAAGGCAGAGTAAGTTAACACTGGAATCATAGAAAGAGAGAGAGAGAGAGAAAGAGCAAGCGCACCGGTGCACGCGCATGCGACTGCTCATTTACGCTCAACGTGTAAAGTACAGAGCTCCCACTCCTTCCCTCTTCTCCCCAAGGGAAAGAAAAAGAAAAAAAACGAATGTGAGCACTGAGAGTAAATCTCCATCTGTGTAACTGCATGTGTGAGATAAAGAGAGACAGTGAAAGGAAAGAAAGGGGGAAAAAAACTCCCGTGCGCGAAATTCTGAGGGAGATAGAAAGAAGGTGGTGAGGCACAGACACAGGCCCTCGCTTCTCTCACAGAACTCCACCGCGTACGCCGCACGGGACCCCTCGTTCTTTCCTTCTACTCTTATCCTTCTTTCTCTTTCCCATGCGCAATGCCACGCCCAGAGATATAGAGCCAGATAGAGAGGAGTTTCATACGCTATTCCTTCAACATCTTTTCTACGCAGGCAAAACGAGACGCGTCTAGCGATGCTCGGGCGTACCGCAAAAAGATGTCAGAGGCAATCGTCGGAAGTACAGTATCCCTAAACGCCTCAAAAGCCTGCTCAAGCAGCGCCGCATCGGCGGCGCCCGCCCCACGGCTTGCCTTGAGGCACACCTCCTCCGCCAGGCCCAACGCCTTGTGGTGTTCCCCACGCTCAACGTGGCCGAGGAACTGCTTCGCCGCACGCCGCGCCTCAACCTGACGAGCCTCGAGCATCGTGGGGCTAATCGACGTGCCAAACTTGAAGAGATCCAGCCAGCCGCGGACAGGCTCCTGCAGCGGGCCGTCTTTTCCCGCCTCCTCCATGGCGCGAGCGAGTTCAAAGGCCGTGGCGCGAACCGACGCCGCGGACGGGACGCTTTGCACGTGGCGTAGTGGCGCCGCAACGATGGACAAGTCGCTGCTCTCCGCGTCCTTCAAGGCAGTGTTCAACTCCTCCCTGAAAGGCGCACCGCTTGTCATGCGGCTCTTCAACGCCTCCAGGTTGAGACCAACGGAGATCAGCTTCTTGCTTACGTACCCAAATTCGCTGAAGTCACGCTCGGCCAACTGGGTCACCACGTGCAGGTGGCTGGCCACAATATTCGACACCTCCTGGTAGTAGTGCTGCGCCAGCGAGACGTCGTCAAACTCCTCAAGGAGAGGCTTGGCGGCCGCCGCGAACGACTCCCGCTTCCCCCGCACCCCATCGTCCAGCCGCTCCATCTCAGCCGCGTGGGCCTCCTCTTCGCTCCTGCGCTGCAGCTTGGCCCTGGAGAGGCTTTCGCGTGCAAGCTCATTCCGCACACGCTCCCGCGAAAAGGCCTCCTCCGGCGCAAAGAAAAGTGAACGCAGATAGTCCATGCCTCGAGGACCCCCTCTATCTACACCTCCCACGCACGCAGCAGGAAAGAAACGGGGAGGGGGGAAAAAAAATGCCGCGTTGCATAATGAAACACACAGCCAGCGACAACTCCGCTTCGCCCATACCACTCCCCCAGCAGCAGTTTAACTGCAGGCAAATACACACAAATATATATATATATATATGAGAGAGAGAGAGAGAGAGCAAAGCCGCAAGGCAAAAAGAGGGTAGCCAGCAGGGAAGAAGTAAGAACACCTGCCACTTCCACAAGTGATTCTTCGAAGAAGAAGAAATCAAAAACAGGCAAACATAAGCACTCCGCACCAACGGCAGCCTCTTTTCAACTTGCGGCAATGGGCGGCATCAAAATCTCCGCTTTACCCAATCCGAGTGGGCAGAATAAATCTGCTGCAGGTCCGCTTCAGTAAACTGCAAGAGTGTGCTAAGCACTGGAAAGAGACTTCGACCCACACTCCCGCCTTCCTTAGCGCAGAGCAATTTCACGACTGTGCACCGGAGGTAGGAAAGTTGCTGTCCCTCCAGCACCTGCGAACGACTAGCCTCCTTGGAATTCGTCTGATGCTTGGCGGCGACTAGTCGCTTCTTCGTCTCGCATAACTCCTCGGAGAGTCGCAGCATGCCACCCTCAAGCTCCGCAATACGCGCCATTGCCTGCGGCAGCGTGAGAGACCCGTGCTGCGCATCCAGCAGTGTCTTGTCCGTGCTAGTCCCGCCACCGCCCCGCGCCAGCTTACTCTGCACCTCCCGCAGCTCTACCAGCAGTGTCTCCTTCTCACCCTCCGCCAACTTCAACTCATCCTGCAGAGCTTCAAACTCTCGCAGTAGATCCATGTACGCCCGCTCGCCACTCTTTTCCGCAAACTCCGCGTCCACCTTGGCGGCGGCGGTTTGCGCCGCCACTGCCGTCTCCGCGGCCAGCGCTCGCTCCTCCAACTCCGCCCGCAGCTCCGCCACCTCCTCCTCATGGCTGGCCACAAGTCTCTCAATTTCGTCACGGTGTTGGTCAAATATGACGCTCTCACGCGAGGCAAATTCACGCCGCAACTTCTCCATCTCCTCCTCTAGGCGCGCCTCAAGCAGATTGATTTGCTCCACATTCGGTTTGCTGTTCAACGCTAACTGTGAGGACTCAAGCCGCACGTTGGCCGCCTCAAGATCCTCCAGCCGATTTTGCAGCACGGAGAGGGCCTGGTCACGGCTATCAACGGCATGATTGCGCTCCCTAACAGCTGCGAGGGCCTCGTTTAGCTGCTGCTGAAGAACAGAGGCTTCGGACTGCAACGTCTCAATGTTCTTTGCCTGCAGCCGCAGCGTCTGCGCCGTGCGACGTTGGCACTTGTCGAGCTCCTGCGAGGCGGACGCCGCCACCTCCAGCGCAACCTCCGACTTCTTTAGCAACGCGACGAGAAAGACGTCCATTGTCGCGCCCGTCCACCGCATTAAGTCGCCCAGAATAGAGTCGGCTGGGATGCAGACGGATGAAGACGCCAACAACGGCGGCAAGACCCCGGCAACTCCGCCTTCTGCTCCATTGTGCACATGCTGCTGCTGCTGCTGCTGCTGCTGGAGCTCCTGCTGATGCCTCCATTGCCTGCTGGCCTCCTGTAACTCATCACGCTCACGGGTGAGCCGCACAATACGCTCACGCAGCTCATTCACTGCAATCTGCGTCTTCTCCTTCCACAGCCGCATGCGCTCCTCTGCCTTCCTAAGCTCGCCCTGCAGCCGTCCGACCTCGCCACCCGCATCATCCACGTACGCACTGCTAGTCTGCTCCATTCTACAGAAAAGAGAGCCGAGAGGCAAAAATATTTTTTTAAAAAAAACGAGACCAGGGATGAATGGCAAGAATGACACAGCAAAGGCACATTTATATTTTTGTTTTTGCGTGTGTGTAGTCTGCGCTCCCTCGCGCCGTAATGTGCAGAGTGGAACATGACCCAAAGAGTGAGGCGAAGGCAAAGACAAGGTCGATAGCGCAACTTCTTTCCGCGCGCTCCCGCTGCTTCGTCACCCGCCGCTCCCCTGCGCTTGAACAACAACAGCAATAGACGGACAGACAGAGAAAAAAAAAAAACTTTCGCGCCGGAGGGAACTCAATGTCCTCCTCCATTCGACGGTGAGGCCTCCTCCTCCGTCACAGCCCGTTGCCCCTTCGCGAATGGGCCGCCAGGCTGCCATGGCATGTATACCGTAGGTGCCTGCAGCCGCTTTTCCTCCACTAACTCCCGCTTGACGCTTCCCTGCAGGATTCCAATGTCATCCATCATGTCCCGTGTGCCGTGGTCAGAGCCCCACGGATGCCACGCCTTCACATCATGACGGGCCGCCTCTGGGCCCAGGCGATCCTCCGTGTAGCTCCACCTGCTACGCAGCACGTGCATCTGCGTCCGCCACGCCCGGTACAAGTAAAAGCCCATCACGAGCGAGAGGAAGACGACGAAAAAAGCGACATCCTGCGTGCTAAACGAGCGGTACTCTGGATTCTCCGCTGTCTCTCTGTGAATCGTGTTCGTCGCGGCATCGTAATTCACGCGCCTAAAGTTTATGTCTCGCTCTTTCGCGCCGGCGGCGTCGCCCTTGTCATGGCGGTGTGTCAAGAGGATCTTGTGCGCCTCCCGGAGAAGCTGGAACTGCTCACTGGTGCCGCCGCGGTCGGGGTGATACCGCAGCACAAGTTTGTTAAACCTCTTTTTGATCTCACCTGCCTCCAACCGGTCGCTCATCTGAAACCCAAAGATGGAGCACGCCTGCTGGTACGTCATGTACCCCTTGTCCCCGGCAATGGTGCCCTCAAACTTTTCGTACACCAGAAAGCGAAGTGTGCGCCGCATCTCTCAGCACTACGAACGCGCTCCAAGTGCGCTGAAGACAACCTACAAAACGGGAAGAGGAAAAAACACGAGAAACACAGCTTTCGGCGTAAACAGATGAGCCAAGAATGGAAATACAAAACAGAAAACACACATACACAAACAAAGATACACACGCAGCATATATATATATATATATATACGAAACCAAAGAAGGAGAAACAAGAAGAAGAAGTAAAACAAAA